CCCAGCTAATAAAAGTCTGTTCTAGGGTACCAGTCGGGGACTCGGTTCTTACCTGGGTCTCAGCAGCGGGTGGGCTGGTTCCAGCAGCACGGGTCTGGGCACGGGTAGTCACTGGGTTGATAGCGGCAGGTCCCATTGGAGCATAAGCGGACACCAAAGGGGCCAAGTCATTCCCAAGCAAAACATCGGCCGGTAAGTCTTTCATGACCCCCACATTCCCGTGTCCAGAGCCCACCCCCCAATCCAAGTGAACCCGGGCAACCGGTAAACGGAACACTGCACCTCCCGCCACCCTCACTGCCACAGTATTTCCAGTGTGTTGGTGTTCTGAAACAAGGGTTCTTTTGGAGCAAGGTCATAGTGGCTCCGGTGTCTCTCAGACCAGTTACCGCTTTGCCATTTAGTTTAACGGTCTGCCTGTGCTGTTGACGGTTATCCTGCTGCGCTGCTTGTACTGGATCCGCCTCATGTAGTATACCCCAAAATTCCTCCTGCTCAAGACAGTGAGCGGAAGGTTGGGGTGGCTGCTGGTTTCCGCCGGCTGGTCTTCTCCACGACTGGGCTTGGCTGGAATTGTTCAATGGGCACTCGGGTCGCTTGTGCCCCAACTGCTTACACCCATAGCAACGGATAGGCTGTGAGTAATCCCGGGCGTTGAACCGGGCTGGCTGAACATAATTGTTTGCTGTTGGCATGGTGGGGGTGCGTTGTGCTGGGTGTTGATACACTGCAGAGGTTGGAGGGGCTGCTGGTTTGTACTCCACTCGGGTAGGGACCTTGGCTGCTGTCTGGTCCAGTTTCCTGGCGTCAGTGTACTCATCAGCCAGACGAGCAGCTTCGGGTAAGGTAGCGGGTTTGCGGTCCCTAACCCATTCTCTGACTCCTGCAGGTAAGCGGTCAAAGCAGTGCTCCAACAAAAATACTTGCAGCACTTCTTCCCCAGTTACCGCTTGGCACCCTGCCATCCAGTGGGCTGAGGTGCGGTGTACTCGGCATGCCCACTCAACATAAGAATCACCAGCCTGCTTGTTAATGTCCCGGAATCGCCGCCGGTATGCCTCAGGGGTCACAGCGTATCTGGCCAAAAGGGCATCTTTCACGGCCCTGTAGCTGGTAAGTTCCTCCTCTGGGATGGCCCGAAACGCCTCACTGGCCCGGCCGGATAACTTCCCAAAGAGGATGGGGACCCATTCTCCTGCGGGTACCTGGTGTAAGGCACATTGCCTTTCAAAATCAGCCAGGAACCCATCAATTTCTCCTTCGGCTTCTACAAAGTTCCGAAATGCAGCAAAAGGTACTTTTCTCCTTCCATTATTATTATACGGTACCTCAGCTGCTGCAGCGCCTCTTCCTTGAAGCGCCTGTTGTGCTGCTACTGCTGCTTGTACTTGCACCACAATATCTGCTGCGGGGTTGGGGCCAAAATGTGCCAGCCTGATCTGAACTGCCGGTTAAACTGTATCTCCTCGGGTGTTAACTCCAGTATGCCAGGCACATCAGCTCTTCCCGTTCCCTGTGCTGCATCCATTTCCAATAGTATAGCAATAATCTCTCTTTTCTTGAGATTACTCGCTGATCGTCCTCTGCGTTCTAATATATCTTTAAGGGTAGCACGCCTTAACTCTTCATACTGCATTTCCAACCTGGGATGTGTAGCTGGCCTTCTGGGCTGTAGGATTCATTCCGTCGCTTGCCACCAATTGTTACGACACGTACCGTCGGGTAAATGAAGCCGCCGTTTAGTCAATAATCCCCTTCTCCAGAAATGCAGTTTAAATCCAGCCGACCGCCAAAACTCCCGAACGAAGTCCACGAACACGGCAACTCCCGATCAGCAAAACAGTCGAACGCCTTTCACAGCCCCAGTAATAATTCCCCCACAAACGAGACCAAGCTCCGTGTTGAGGGTCAAATGAAGATCTGTTTAATGGGGGCTACCTGCCCGGTATTTATGCAGGTCTCCACAAGGTGGACACTCCCCGAGGGGACCTTGTGGAAGACTGTAAAGCATATTGGACAGTAGCCAATCGCAGTGGCTTCAATAATAGCCCTTCCCATCTTGCCCATAATTCCGTCTTCTCTACCTCGGAGATAATTAGGAAGAAACCTAATTATCTCCCAAGGTAGAGACAATCGCCATTTTAACTTACAATAATAAAAATACATTAAAATACATAACTGCAGAAATACCGAATGCATATAGTTCGTGTAACGTATCCCCAGACAGCCTGGATCTGAGTGCATGTTTTCACCGAATAGCGCTCAGATCTGATGTATCTAGTCGAATCGCCATGGAGTCAAAGTCTTTCACCAGTCCTTCGGTATACGAATGACTCCATGGGATGGCTGTCTGGGTGAAAGTCCATACGAATGAATAAAAACTCCCGAACGACCGACGTTCGCATGCCTTGTCGAAATGGAAGGTAGGCAGCAGCTTCCAGCGGTGTTCGGTAGTTTAAGTGTCCGTTTTTAGTTCCATACAGTTTGTACCGAACACCGCTATGTGTTCGTATGTCCCAAAATGGCCGCTGCCTCGTGGTCGACATGCGAACGACGACCACCCGTACGAATGGAATGGAGAGGTGTCTGCGGTTAACCACAACGTTCTAATTGGGGCCAAGAGGTTAACCAGCAGCACACTCCTCTCCTGGGTGGTCGTTCGTTCGGTAGTTTCAATCGGTAGTATGCAAATTACACGAACGGGGTTATATGAACAGGCAATTCAGCGAACAAAGGGAAACAGACGAACCAGCAATACAGATGAATCTGTCACAGCAGACTTCCTAAAAAATGAACATGTGGGACCCAGGGGAATAAAGAAATCATGAAAAAGACCTCATTAAATGGATACTCTAATATTATAGATTCCTCTCTAGTTAAAGAGAAAAAAAAAAGGAGTCACGATTCTAATATCTGATCATATACATTTTGAAATTATCTATCAGGAGATCGACTATGAAGCTAGATATATTATATTGATCTGTAAAATAAATGAGGTCTTCTATACATTAGTAAACGTATATGCACCCAATAAAGGTCCAGCTGGTGTCCTCAGGAAGATATGCAGCAAACTGGAAAATCTCACACAAATGTTATTAATAATGGTTGGAGATCTTAATATGATACTGGATGAGAAAAAGATACGAAATATATAGGGAAAAGGGCATTTTCCATTGAATTTATAAATAAAACTAGAAACGTTCAGTCACTTTTGGGAGAATATCATTTATATGATTTATGGAGGACTATACACCCTGATGAGGAAGATTTTGCACATTTCTCTCGGGTACACTATTCGTATTCCCGAATAGACCTTTTTTTTTAGGGAGATCAGCCCTTATACAACAAATTAAAAAGATATATATAAAATAGCTAACATGGACAGATCATAATGGAGTGATAATGGAAACTAAAGATCAGCAACAAACATTCATTAGACCAGACTGGAGAATGGACAATAGTTTATTGATATCGGAAGAAAGTAAAGAATATATAAATAGAATGACCAAATGGTTCTTTGAAGAAAATAAGACAGATGATATTTCTATTACAATAATATGGTGTGCCTACAAATCTGTGATGAGAGGATATTTAATAAAAATGAAAGCAAATAAAAATAAAAATGCAGTTTCCCCTCTCCCAGTCTTGTATGTTGAACCTTACAATTTATCAAGGAGTAATAAAGAAAATCCTACTTTAGAAAATATAAAAAAGCTGTAAAAAAATTATTAAATAATATCCTGTTAGAGAACTCAAAAAATAAACTTCAAAAACTGAACCAAAATTGGTATCACAAAAGTAATAAAGCTGATAAGCTATTAACATCTAAACTTAAAGGGACACTGTAGCCACCAAAACAACTTTAGCTTAATGAAGAACTTTTGGTGTATAGGTCATGCCCCTGCAGTCTCACTGCTCAATTCTCTGTCATTTAAGAGTTAAATCACTTTGTTTATGTAGCCCTAGGCACACCTCCGTGCATGTGACTAACACAACCTTCCTAAACACTTCCTGTAAAGAGTCAACTAATGTTTACACTTGCTTTATTGCAAATTTTGTTTGATTCAGAATTTCCTTTCTCCTACTCTGTTAACAGCTTGCTAGACATTACATTGTATGTAATCAAATTTCACTTTACAGAGCAGTAGATGAAAACTTTTAAAGCAAGTTACATCTACTTGAAAGTGAAACCAATTTTTTCATGCAGGTTGTGTGAGTCAGAGCCAGGGGAGGTGTGGCTAAGGCTGCATAAACAGAAACAAAAGTGATTTAACTCCTAAATGGCAGTGAATTGAGCAGTGAGACTACAGGAGTATACACTATAACTGCTTTATTACACTAAAGGTGTTATGGTGACTATAGTGTCCCTTTAAACAAAGAACAGCTAAAAGAAGAATTTATAAAATAATTCATAAGGGTTCAACATATTATAACCCAAATTAAATAGGGGAGGCATTTAAAGATTTCTAAAAACTCTATAATATTCCAGTAAAAATTGACAAGACCTATCTTAAAGAATATCTTGGAAATTTAAATAAATTCAAATTAACAAAAGATCAAGTGAAATCTATAAATACTCCAATAACTCTGGAAGAGGTAATTTCGGCCATAAATAAGCTTAAAAATAATAATGCTCCAGGACCTGACGGCTTCTCCATTTTAAAAAACAAACAAACTATAAAACACAATATTAGTCCATACCTGGTAACAATGTTTAATAAGATAGGATTACACAAGAAATGTTGCAAGCTTGGAATAAGATAGAAGCGTCAAAAACTAATAATGTTGGGGTGTGGCCTAGACTCCAGCGCGGATGGTCGCATGAAAGCTGAGCTCCGCAAGTAATTGGATGTAACCGACGAAACCCAGCATATAAAAGAAACAATGGCATCTAAAAAACAGCGCAACACAGCGGGGACAAAACCTGCCAACAACCCTGCATTCCTCCAAATCGTCTCTAGGCTTTCTCAGAGCAAACAGAGACGGAGCCGCAAGGCAAAATGGCGCTCATGGCCGGTACACGAGGCAGCCGACCAGAGAGCCCATCGACCTCTGAATGCGCCACGGAAAATTATGATCTCAGCGCACTGATTACAAAACTCCCATTCAAGGCAAATATAGGTGCTATGTTCCAGAGATTGGAAGATAGCTTTGGTGAGAAAGTACAAGCAGTCAGTGCAGACGTCCAACACCTGGATGACCGAGTTCAGGCCCTGGAGGATGATGGTGAAGCAGCAGATCAGCAATGGACTGAATGCCATACCACCTAGCGGCTGCATGCGGAGGCGATACTATACCTCCAAAGAAGGCTGGAGGACGTAGACAATAGAAGAAGGTGGAACAACTTGCGGGTAAGGGGCATATACCAGAAAGCCCGAAGGGAATTACAGAGGAGCCCATGAAAGTACTAACGACCCTCTTCAACCAGATCCTCTCTAGGCCCCAGGACACAGCCATTAAATTTGACAGAGCCCATAGAGCAACAAGACCTAGAAACCTCCCGCTAGACAAACCTCGCGACCTGATATGTTGCATCCATAACTTTCCAGTGAAGGAAGAGATATTCCGGAGGGCCCGCCAAACTACCGAATTGCAATTTGAGGGCCACAGAGTCGACATATATCAGGACCTCTCCCCAGCAATTCTTCTAGCCAGGAGAGTGCTCCGACCTGTCACTCATATCCTACTGGATAAGCACATAAAATTACGATGGACATTCCCCTTCGCATTGGTGGTGACACAGCAAGACAAGACCTACTCTATCAGCACCCTCACGGAGGTACCGGACTTCTTGGGCCTCCCACCTACTGAAGTAGAAGATTGGACCGGACTCTCTGGACAGTCTCCCAAGCAGCTTCCTCAAAGACCCAGGTGGCAGAAAACCCCTAAGAAGCGCAGAAGACAAGTCCCGCATGGTGCAGATAACCCTTCCACACCCAGGGACAAGGTCACCTGAGTATTTTCTGAAGGGTGGAAAAATATATCCTTTGCGCTAATATAACCCACGGAAGGGGGTACCTCTGCATCCCCCATGTTTTACTATGTTTGAATATGTCTTATCATGCTTCACTATGCAATGCCGATTGTTTCTTAAGTTCTAATAGTTAAGTTATGCAAGCCATGCTCATGAGGCCTACGATATAGCTGATAATACTATACTGTGGAAAATGCAAGGCTTATAGGGGCCTACGCTCTGGGTGCAATTCATGCGGTGAGGGTCGCGGACATGTCTTTGATGTGGCCGCGATCCGTAGAGTCATCAATGCACCTGAAGCTCCCATCCAGTTCCCCTTATGGTAACTAGGTCTCTTACCCCTCAAGAGGTGCCCCACAACTACTTGTGGACCCTTTGTCATCCACAGGTTTGGCACCATCCTCTCTGTTAGTATGTATGATTCAAACCATACCTACAATATGTATATAGTTTATGTTCTTTATCTGCCAGTAATATCTTCATGTGTTTCGATATTAATACTCTGCATCATGTCAAATACCACAGTGTTATGTACGAGGCAACCACTATAGCGGCATGGCTAAGACAGACTAGATATGGCCCAGGTTAACCTACTTTCGCTAAATGTGAAAGGCCTTAATAACCCAGAAAAACATGCCATGTTAACACAAGAATTAAACAGGCAAAAGGCCGACATTATGTTTCTCCAAGAGACACATTATAGAGGAGACTTCCAGGCTAGACTTAGGTCCAGAAATGTGTTAAAGATAATCTGTGTGTGTAGTTGGCGCTTAAATGGACAATAAATACGTCTATATCATATATAGCTGCTGCAACACTTCTGGGTCTCTCTAGTCCCAGACTTATAAACAAATAATAAAAAATGGTAATTTGTGGGGGCAGACCCGAAAGAGGAACCCACTACAAACACCCTTTTAAGTGGAGCGCTAAAGAGTACTTACCCTCCTTTTAGGGGTATCAGGTAATTCCAATAGGTCCAAACTTATCCAACAGACATACTATAGCAACTACAATAAAGAGAAATCGAAGGCAGTGGCCATTATGTTGGGGTCTCGCATTGCCTTTACAGAACTAGATACCAAAACGGACCCTGAGGGGAGGATGTTGTTTGTCAAAGGAAAGGTAAATGACTAGCTGGTTACCCTGTTGAACGTATATGCTCCGAATTCAAGCCAGATTTCCTTTGTCCGCTCATGTCTGAGAAAATTTGAGAGATTTGCTGAGGGGATCCTTATAGTGGGGATAGACTGGAATATGGTGCTTGACCGTACAGTGGACAGCACATCTAGGGCTACAGACACTAACTCACACCAGAGATCGCTATTCCACAACACACTGCACTTACACCAACTGATGGATTGCTGGAGACTGGTGCACCCACAGGATAGGGACTACACGTTTTAATCCCCAACGGCGAACAGTTACTCCAGAATAGACATGTTCCTAATAGGCCACAGACCACTTGGCACCATCACGTGGTCCGATTATGCTCCTATATGCTTGACCATACACATACAGGGAGACACCAGAAGCACAGCTAATTGGCGCCTGAACGAGTCTCTCTTGGATGATCCCCGTTGTTAGAATATCTCCACAGGACTCAGAACAGCTATTTTGTAGAAAATGAGACACCCGGCACCACAGACCCCTGGGTTTGGGAGGCTCATAAGGGAGTTATTAGGGGAACCCTGATTAAATGGGGATCCATAATCAAAAAGGAGCGCACAATTAAAATACAATCTCTAACCAAAGCCATACACGACTTACATATGGCCATACATATGTGATGTTTGTTTAGTTTAGTTTGTTTAGTTTAGAGAGAGGTTTGCTCGCCATGTTAGGTCTCAAACAGAAATTACCAAACTGGTCCAGTGAGGCCTTATCTAGTTTTGACACCTTGTTAGCTAACAAAACGTTCTTAATCCTCAAGTAAGAAAAAACATCTTTATTTGAAAGGGAAAACTCTGCCTGCAAACTAGAATAGGATTTGATCCCTAAATCATCATATAGCATGTGCACCTTAACAATACCACTATCCTCCCATGTAGTCAAATTTAAGTCCTGTGTGAGACTAGTTATTGCATGTAATGGGGCTAAGGATAATAATTTCACACCCTTTAACAGTTTAGCTCTGTCAGTCTAAATGCAACCCTTGGCAGGTTTTTTTTCCAAATGTACGAATTGATCATAAAAAATTTTTAATATATTTTTTGACAAAGCTATAGGTATGGTCAAGGAATGGTTCGGAAGAGATACAAAATGTGAGGTAATACCATAATTTTTATTGTGTGTGCACGACCTAGCCAGGACAACTTCAGAGCCCCCCCATTTATTCAGCTGAGTCTCTAGTCTATGCAATAAAGGAATATGATTTTGTTTAATTAAAAGAGAACTAGTTTTGGTTAGTTTTATACCCAAATACGTGAGAGAATCTTTACGCCAATCAAATGGATAAATACATGCTTATTGAGTTACTTCTGCTTTTGATAAACCCAATGGCAATGCCTGGGTTTTTTTTGCATTGTTTTTATAATATGATATCGCGCTATATCTATAAAACAAGTTTTCTTAGTGGGGTAGTGAATCATTAGGTTTTGTTAAGAACAAGAGCACATCATCAGCAAAAAGAGCTAATTTTTGTTCTCCACCCGGCGTACTTAGTCCGCAAATACCCACATGTTGTTTTATATGTCTAACCAAGGGTTCCAGAGTAAGTGTAAAAATCAGTGGAGAAAGTGGACAACCCTGGCACGTTCCATTCGAAATCTCACATTTTGAAGATAAGAAACCAGTGTTCATAACCTTCGCTGACGGTTTCGAATATAATGCCATAATACTACTCACAAAAGACTGAGGAAAATTTAGTTTGTGAAGGACACATTTCATATAATCCCAATTTAATATTAGTGCGTGCCAATTCTATAAGATTAATATAATGTCTTGTATTGTCCCCAACTTGTCTACCTGGAACAAACCCAGCTTGCTCCTCTGAAACCAGCTCCAAAAGGATTGGCTTTATTCGAGACGCCAATAGTTTGGCATAGATTTTTATATCTGCATTTCAAAGTGATATAGGCCTAAGATTGGCGCATTCTGTAGCTGGTTTCCCAGGTTTGGGAAGAGTAATTATATATGCCTCTAACATTTCTAAAGGGATCGAACCTGATGTTTTAAACGGATTAAATAACTTTGTAAGATATTGTGTTAAAATAGGTTCCAGCTTAATTTAATAGTAGTTGGAAAAGCCATCGGGGCCTGGAGCTTTATGTTTGGGGAGAGACTGGATAGCTTTCCTTATTTCATCCTCTGTGAATGGCTCCTCCAACTTCTGTTACTGGCACGCTGAAATTAATTTCCTCGAGAAATTTTTCTATTTCAAAACATGAAGGTTGAGGTGTGTTTGGATCTACAGATAAGTTATATAGCTTTTTGAAATAACTTGCTAATTCACCTACAATATCATTAGGGTTAAATAATTTATGGTTGTCCATCGGGACCATAGAGGGGATTTTTGTTTGAAGATAATTTGACTTTAGCATATTGGCTAACATTTTCCCTGCTTTATTGCCGTGAATATAAAATTTCATTTTTAGGGCTCTCATTTGTTTTTCTGTCGCTGTGAAAGGCCAATTGGTCAAGTTCTTTCCTTATTTCATGTATTTGACTGCCATATGATTTATTTGGTTTAAATTTATTTTAATCTTCTAGTTTAGCTAATTCCTGAAGGAGTCGTAACCGGTCCGCACACACTTTATTTTTACTGCTCGCCCCTAATTTAATAAAGATACCCCTTATAACTGCCTTTTGCGCCAACCATAATGAGGAGCCAGCAATATTGTCCTTATCGTTTTCGTGAAAATATTTAATAAGCTCCTCCTTGACCACTGGGAACAGTTTAACATCATCAATCAATGCCTCATTCATTCTCCATGATCCCATGCCCCGTCCCAGGTACTTTGATTGGAATGTAACTGTAATCGGTGAATGATCCGACCAAGTCCTTAGGCCTATATTTGCTTCTATTACATTAATCAGAGTAGCTTTACACGGATTTCCAAAACCTTTTTTAATGCTGCCTTTATAAATTTAATCTGGAGAATTTTTGGGGCGTACAAAGAAGCCAATGTAATTTCGATCCCATTCAAAGAGCCCACTAATATTAGAAGCAGTCCCGCCTCATCTACGTATTGTGTATTCAATTGAAAGACCCAATCTGCATGAATTAAAATAGCTACCCCTTTAGATTTGCTAGCTGAGTATGCATAATACTCCTGTGGATAATATTTTGTTTTTAAA